TAAGCGTTTCCATAAAATGCGCATGTCGACGCGAGGGAAGCGCCACATTGCGCGTTCCTAGCTGTTCAAGCGTTTCCACAAGAGCGCATGTCGCCGCAAGGAAAGCGCTAAGATGATCGCGCCGCGAAAACATTGCGCGTTTTGACGACGCGCGGAACGGGGATGATGATGCGGATAGAAGTGAACGCCTGCGCGGTCGCGCGCCAGCGGGAATGCATGGGCAGGATTTGGGCTGAGAGAAGCAGGCTCGAAGCTTCGCCGCACTCGCCGTCGCCGTCGCCACCGTCGTTGGCGATCGAGCGGCGCTGCCCCCCCCCCGCCCGCCGCGCCGCCGCGGCGGCCCCCGGCCCCCCTCTGCATGGATGGGGCACGGGGGCTCGCGGCGGGTAGGATTGCTTTCTGCGCTCCTGCCCTGAACGGGCTGCCCTGAGGTGCGCCACCGCGTTCTCTGTGAAATGGGGAGGGGTGACTGCCCTGCCGGCGGGAACAAGACGGGAAGTGGAAGATGACGACAACCCGAAGACGCGGGGCGGTCGGCGATTCAAAATAAGGCCCTGCGGGATGGGGCCCTAAGGATAAGAATGGAGCCCAGGTTGGATTCACACTGCTTGAGGCCCCTCGTCCTTAAGGCCACATCCCGCAGGGTCCCACCTTTGAACCGCTGATGGAGGAAGGGGCAGGAATGGCCACCCTAAACGGCTGGGACAACGCCTGCTGGCGACGAGCGTCAAGCGGAGGAAGACGACAGCGACGGACGGCAGACGACAGGCGAAGGCGACGGCGGCAGACGACCGACGATGGACGAATGCCGACGACGATTGGCGGCGCTTGTCACAACGAGGCCGCGCGACGGAGGCGGCCTTCTAAGAAGGCGGGGGGACTCCTTAGATCTCAGGAGCATTTCAACGAGGGCCTGGAGTATTCGAAGGAGGCGCCCTGGAAGTGCTGCGAAAGCATCTACTACGAAGCCACCTGCCTTTTCAGAATAACCTCCGCCTTCTTACAAGGCCGCCGCCCCCCTCGCGCAGCCCCCTGTGCGCGCGGCCAAGACGACAGACCGAGGATCGAGGATCGAGGATTGGGCGACGGCGGAAGGACGGACGGACGACGACGACGACGCGACGACGAGGCAGGAGCAACAAGGTGCTAGTACGCATCCACGGTGGCACGGCACGCGAAGGGAGAGAGGAGCAAGGGCAAGGGGGAGGGAGGAGGAGAGTAGAAAAGGAGAGATGAGACGGAGAGAGGAGGGAGGGAGTATGGAGGAGGAGGAGGAGGAGGAGGAAGGAGGATGAGTTGGAGGTGGAAGGGGTGCAAGGAAGAGGGAGGAGGTGGGTGAAGGGAGGGAAGAGAGACGTCGGACGGGTAGAGGAGACGGGGAAGGGAGGAGGAAAAGGGAGAAGGAGATGAGGAGGACGAGGACGAGGACCGAGGGGAAGGAGGCATGAGGAAGAGGGCCTGGAGGAGGGAGGGAGGAGAGGCCTAAACCAAGGATGCATCAACGACGCGCAAACCCCCTGTCCCATCCCGAGCTCCCTCCTGCGAAATCCCTGCACGCCCTCCTCTCCTGTTCAAGAAGCGCCGCCCAGAAATGCAAACCACCCCACGGGCCTGCCAGTCTGGCGAGAGCCAATCTTGACAAGGAAGCCACAACCTTGCATCAGTCCATCGAGTAATACGATGGACGCGAAAATGCAGAATCATACAGTTCGATGACCTGTCCAGCGAGATCCCCATCTTTGATAAAGGATCGCCCCCATCTGCGTGCACCTCTTGCGCAAGCTTTAACCTCTAGCCATCAGCTCAGCGCCGAGAAAGTCTGAAGCGAGAACAGTATGTTGAAAAGGAACCACTCTCCATCTGCGCAGCTGACCACATATTCAAGATTCTGGCTCTTGACATTCGAGAAGGCTCGAGCTGACGCCCAAGGTTAAACAAAAATCAGCCCTTAACCATGGCATACACATGGGTGTGATCCAAGTGTGGCCCAATGTTGCCACTGCGGCGTGCTTGGCCACGGCGAAATGGAATGTTGCAAGATGCAGACGACACGCAAGACCATCCTGTGTGAACGCTCATTGTGGCCGCAACGGTAGCATCAGCATACACCCACCACCTACTTGAACACAACAGAGCACACCAAATTCGACCTTGGTCAAAACCTGTTTTGCTATGAATTCCCGTACGAAACGCTGACAATTCTACTGTTTCGAACGGAGCTCGAACCTGGTTCGAACCTGCTTTCCGGAGCAATCCCGAACGAAACGCTCACTTTTCTATTGTTTCGAACCGGATTCGAACATGGTTCGAACCTGCTCTTAAAATAAGACTCGCACGAAATGCTCACTGTGCTATTGTTTCGAACCGAGATCGATCCTGGTTCGAACCTGCTGTCCGAATAAGACCCGCACGGAACGCTCACCATTCGATTGTGTCGAACGGACTTCTCTTGTTCCGAACCGTTCGATCCCTGTTCGAAACTTTTTGAAAAACTCGACGCGGCTCGCCGTTTTCGAACCGTTGACCCGTGAAGCGATTTCAAATGTTCACAAAGAATGCGCGTAACCCTAGGAGCGACAATAACATGTTGAAAACCACCCCGATCCCTCCGTGAAGGTGTTGCAGTTTAGGAAAAACGTATGTGCGCGGCGATGAGGCGAAAATCCCATTTTGAAAGCGACCCGCCCTCCATCCCTGAAACTGATATCTCCGACTTCATGATCATAAATGGCGGGGAAGTCTCAAAAAAACGCCGGGCCCACCCTACCGCCACGTCGGAGAGTGCGACAGGCAGGAGTTATGTATAGTGAAATGGGGTGGAGGAGGAGGTTGAAGGAAGGAGATCAAGGAGAAGGTGGAGTGGGTGGAGAGAACGGGAGAGAGGGCGGAAGGGGGAGGACGACGGAAGCAGGGAGGAGGGAAAGGGGGGGAGGAGAGGACGAAGACGAGTGAGGAGGACGAGAGGGAAAGAGGGGGGGAGAGACTAAAGAAAGCAGGAAACAACGAGGGAGGTGGCTCACGAAGTCTCGGGAGGCCCCCGGGGGACCCTGGAGGCGCCCGCGGCCCAAAGGTCCAAAAACGTCGAAGCTGGCGCAGATCGCCCTGGACAAGCACCAACCTTCAGAGCGCACCCGTGCGCCGAGAGATATCCACAAGGTCACCCGAACCGATCAAGAGGAAGACCCGCAGGAGGGCCTTAGCTCGACCAATGCCCGCCCGTGTGCGACAAACATGCTCGGCTACAGCAAGAACGAGCCCGGGCGAGAGTACCCTTTGATTGCGTTTGGGGGGGAGACGCGATGCGCTCGGGTCAGTGCTGGCTTGACCCCCGTGGGCCCGCACCGAAGCTCGCTCTTGCGAAGAGCCACTCTTACACGTAGCCGGCGAAAACATCCAGCGGCACGAACAAAATGAGGCGGCCGGTTTCTCAGCGATCTGGGGATTCCAGAGGCTCGATTCTGGGCACCAGGGCCATCAACAGAAACGCATGTGAACTCGGAGACCGTCCGCGGGCGAAAGTCCGAGGGGTCCGAGGTGGAAGGGGTTGCGGCGCGAACACGAATCCAGACGCCGACGTCTGGAACCGTGTAACCGGCGCACATATCTCACCCCGATCCTGTGGACACGCCATCCCATGGGAGCCCTCCACGCCAAGCGACACTCGATGTCACCATATGTTTCCCAGCACGCCGCCCCTAAGAGCCCGAGCCTCTCCGCAAAGGCCGAACCTCTCGCCAGGAGCCGCCCCGCGGCCCTGCCAGCACCGCGCTCGGCCGCGCCGGTCGCACGCGACGACGAAGACGGCGACGAAGACGACGATGTGTTTGTTCTGCACGGCGCGAGCCTGACCGGGATCCCTCGGCCGCCAAAAAGCGGCGGGGCGCATGCCCAATTAGGCACCCGGCGGGGGGCCACGTGCGAGGAGAGCCCCGGCCGCGCGAGGGCCTCTCGGTGCGCGTCGCTCACGTGGGCCCCTGCGGACCGGCCGAGCGAGGATCGGGGATCAAGGGACGGGTCAGTGCAAACGGGGGTCAGTCAGAACTCCAGATCTTGCAGGATGCTGCAGAGCCAGGGGTTCATTTACCCGGGCTTGCGTGCAAGATGCTGCAGGATCCTGCAAGGCCCGGCTGACCCGGGTCTGGATTGACCCGCGCCAATGCGTCCCCGAGTGGGGCGGGCACTCGCGGGCCGGCGAGCCCGTGCCGCCCCTCGGTGGCCTCCTCGGCCCCTGCGCTGGCGGCAGCCGTCTCTCTCTTCTGCGTTTGTTTCTCTCGCTGTCTCTCTCTCTCTCTCTCTCTTTCTCCCTTGCTCTTTGTTTGTTCTCTCTCTCTCTCTTTTTCTCTCTTTCTCTCTCTCTCTCTCGTTCTTTATTTCTCTCTCTCTCTCTCTCTCTTCTCTCTCTCTCTCTTTTTTTTCTCTCTCTCTCTCTCTCTCATTTCTTATTTTGTTTCTCTCTCTCTCTCTCTCTCTCTCTTTCAGCTTGACGCAATTGGGTGAGCAGTGCACGGGCCCTCCATCCGATCCTCCGATCCTCGAACTGGCAAGAGAAAGTACAACCAGGCCAGTTGGAGCAGTTATACGGGGCTCCACACAAAAAGAACCAGGAGCCATCCTGCGTTCTGACACTTTCAGTGAGCTTCAAGTATGCAGCGCAGCGGTCGTGCTCAAAAAAGAACTCTCCCTCTCTCTCTCTCTCTCTCGGCGCAATCCGCTCGTGGTAATATCTTGGGTTCGCACAGGCAGCCCAGCTGGGTAGCCCCGACTGGCCTCAACAGGTCCCCCGAATAGTCGGGGGCGCTCTCGACACCCTGGCGACACCTCTGGCGGCGACCCCGGGGAGCTCTACGCCCCAGTGTTGGGGTGTTGAGGCCGCCCCGGACTACTAACGGGACCTGTTGAGGCCAGTCGGGACCACCCGGCGGAGCTGTCTGTGCGCAACCCGAAGCAGTGCCAGCGCAGCCCGCGCCCCTCCGACCCCGGAGGAAGCGCCGGGCCGTCTCCTGTGCAGGTAGTGCAGCGCGGCCGACACGTCCAGGAACAGCCTGGCCGCCTCTGGCTCGGGGACGCCTCCGCCACAGTGGCAGGGTAGGTAGAGGCAGGGAGGGCGAGACAGAGCGGCCAGAGCGGCCTGCTGACCGGCCACATGGGCCAGTTTGCGGCAGGGGAGCGGCGCTTGGGCAGACCGAGCGGAAAACGACATAGCATGGTGCACTGAAGCAATTGCCTGCTAAACAGGCGAAGAGGGAGGAGGGATGGAGGGAGCCCCCCACCTCCAATAGGAAGCAATAACAATGCCACGAGAGGGGAGGCCACCGCCTGCCCAGGACCGATGCTGTGCGAGGCCGCCGCCTCCCAAAGAGTCAGTTGGCCCCTGCGCGCGGTTCGATGGGTTGAGTTGGCCTCTGTCGCGAAATCCTGCGACACGTGGGCGTCCACCCGGTCCAGGCCAAAATGGATAATACGTCGGACAGGAATGCCGACGGTCACAGTCAGGGAATCGCTGGGGCGCCGAGGGCTTACAGCAATGTCCCACTCCCGACAAGCGAAGAACTGTACAAAATCCGCCGACCCTGTCGGCGTGTGTGAGGGACTGTGCCGTTCGTTGTCGTCGTTGTCGTCGTCGTCGTTGCAGTGCTCCAGCGGGCTTGATGGCAATCGACCCATGTCGTAACCACGTCAAAGGGAAGCCCCTTCCCTTTGTCCCTTCCCCGGCGGGGGGGGGTCCCGGGGGGGTCCCAAGAGGAGACCGGGGGGGGTCCCCGACCGCCCACCGCGTCTGAACCTAAGCGCGTGCGTTTGTATATGCGAGCAGCGTCATCATTCAGGGCAACGCGTGCGTGGTTTGATGTGTATCGCGCTAAGAACAAGGAAAACGACACCAGAAACATCAACACCATCCATATCATATTGTAGCGGCGCTAGGTTTTAGGACTTGGCGCCTAGGGTGTCTTTTCGTATGTGGGCGATCATGGACCTCATATTCGATATCATCACCAACGTCCGCCATTTCGATCATCGCTGTCCGTCACCCGTATCATAGCCATTTGGGTTTTAATATTTCTTCCGAGCTGGTACTGCAAATGCCCAGCCGACGGCAGTCAGTTGACCTCTCCGAACAGGAATACAAAGATGTTCTCAGCTTGCTTCCGATTACGAGCCGCAGAAAGAACCAGTTCATACCTTACCAGTCTACGAACAGGAAGGCAGCAGTGAGTTGGATGGCAGCCAACAGGTATAGGTCAGCGTTGAGTCTTTCACTACTGAAATCAAACGGACTTTGTCTGAACCAGCAATCGTTCTACAAAGCTGCACTCAAGTTTGCCTCCGAAAACGACATCGACATAGTTTCCGACGAAGTCGAAAAATAAGTTTACAGGCTTCAGACTATAATTTTCCAGTTCGGTAATATGAAGAGCAAAGGCCGAGGCATCCCGCGCCAGTGGCGCAAGGAGTTCTCAATGATTTTGGGAATGGTTGCATCTACTGATGAGGAACATCCACGTTCGATCTCGTCGAAGACGGGGACTCCCGCCATTAAGGATGAGGCTGCTGCGGACTCGGACGACGACGTCATATGTATGGGCACCCCACCTCGCAAACCTGTACCAGTTCTTGACGTTGAGGCACCTGTGGACACGTGTTCCAAGGACGCGTTGATGACCTCTTCGAACCCAGAGCTCCAGAAGATTTTGGAGGAGGCCTTCCAGGACACGAGTGGCAAGCACGAGGACGCTGGCCAGAAAAGGAAACGCTTCACATCCAAGAGTGCGGACCCAGCCTTCGCGAAGCAGATCGGGGGGATCGACACCATATCGCTGAAGGAGCTCGTCACTGCACCCTCCGCTGGCGTGGCCCCAGCGTCTTTCGCGGCTCTGAATCGCAAGCTCAAGAGCGAGCTCAAGGCCAAGAAGGCGATGCAGGTGACGAAGACGATGAAGGCGATGAAGGTGATGAAGGCTGACAAAACTAAGAGTGGCAATCCAGAAAAGATATTCTTCGGCACGTGGGTGAACCGCGAGCACAGCAAGGTGTGGCACAAGCAGGTGCAGGTCGGCATGAAAGAACTCTCACTCGACCTTCCGAGCGCCAGGAAGAGGGCGAGCAAGATGGCGCGTGCCAAGGTAGCAGAATGTAGGAGGCTGAGGGCAGAGCACAAACTGCCTGATTTCGTTGAGGACCAGCTTAGTCGTTGAACATATTCTGCGAAGGCCTGTTTGCACGGGGGGTCGCAGCGGCCATAGAACGTATCACAACTGATCGTCACCATCATCATGATCAGTATCATCATCATCATCATCATCATCATCATCATCATCATCATCATCATCATCAGCATCATCATCATCATCATCATTATCATCATCATCACCATCACCATCACCATCACCATCACCATCACCATCACCATGACCATCACCATCATCATCATCAGCATCAGCATCATCATCATCATTATTATTATCATAAGCATCATCATCATCAGCAGCAGCAGCATCATCGCATTCGTCATCGCCGTCATCGTCGTCGTCGTCATCATCATCATCATCATCAACATCATCATCATCATCATCATCATCATCATCATCATCACGGATTTCACCATTGGAGCCCTCCCTGGGGACCTCAGGGAGCCATCCCAGGTCACGTACGTGTGGCAGGGCCGCAGGATTCTCACCGTTGGAGCCCTCCCAGGAGGCACTTATAAGGGGGCAGAAACGCAGGTTCGCTTGACCCCCCCCCCCGCAGGTTATGCACCCAGGGGGCCAGAGTCGCTGTTCCACTCGAGACGTCTTCACAACTTAGCAACACAAGAGTGCAGGACTACGCAATTCTCGCTTGAAGGTATGTGCGTTGGATTTCGGCGAAGGTCTGACGTGCAGTGCGCGCGCGACGATTATGATGATGGTGATGGTGATGGTGATGATGTTGATGATGATGAGGATGATGATGATGACGATGATGATGATGATGATGATGATGATGATGATGCTGATGATGATGATGATGGTGATGATGGTGGTGGTGCTGATGATGATGACGACGACGGCGACGACGACGAAGACGACGACGACGGCCCCTGAAACATCCCTGAAGAGCGGCCCCTGAACCATCCTTCGAAGCCCAGGCTTTCGGCCTGATGATTGTGATGATACACCACTCCCTCAGCAGTCTCAAAATGGCATCTCCAGGGACCACGGGGACAACCATTTGGGCCACCACCTTAGGCCCCCAAGAGATCTCTGAATCATCTGCGGATGACCCTTAGGATGATGATGATGCCGATGATGGTGGTGACGACGACACCGATGAGAACTCCTGAACTCTCGGGCAGCGCTGTCCCGTGCAAGCACAATAAGCTGGATACGGTAGCATCGCCATGAAACGGCTGTATACGCTGTAACTCCCCTTCCGCTGACCCGACGTCTCCCCAAACTTGCCATTGGCCTTTCTGGACGAAAGGGGCCAGCAGGAAAAGACAGAATCGACAGAATCATGTTTTTTTCTGTTTGGTTTCGGTCTTTTTGGTGGTGGGGGCTCCCTCGTCGCCACCTCGTCGCCACGGCTGGACTCTGCTCGGATCGTCGCGGCTCGGCTCGGCTCGAAAAGCTGACCTTCGTTGTCGTCGGCGCCGCCCGCGGCCGCCCCTCCCTTCCGGTAAGATGTAGAGTCGGGGGCCCCGAGGGGGAGGAGGAGGACAAGGAGGAGGAAGGGGAGGTGTCAATGGTACCATTCCCCACGCCACGAATGGCACTGTTGCTCGTTACTTGGATTACCTTGTTGGTTCAAGGTCGACGGTTACCTCGTCGCCACCTCGTCGCCACGGCTGGACTCGGCTCGAGTCGCGGTTGGATTCGGCTCGAAACGCTGGCCCTCGGGGAAACGCTCGAAACGCTGGCCGCCCGCTAGTTTTCGAAGTTGCATGCTCTTCTGCACGTGGCATTCCAGTTCTCTTGTCCTACTCGTCCTCCTCGTCCTCCTCTTCGCCTTAAGCACTCCAAAACACAGATCGGGAGAAATTCGGTACCACTTTCTCTTGGGGCCTCTAAGGCCCTCTTAGGGCGGCCTTCCTGGATACCCCGTGGGCCCTCTTGGGCCTTCCTGCGAGACCCATCTTCCCCCTCCACGGCATCCTCGTCATTAGCCATCTTGGGTCAAGCGTGCTCCAGCCTAACGGTGATCGAAACCAGCGATTCTATTTCACCGTACTGGCCAGTACGATGGCAGAGTACAAGGCCTTCACGGGCTACGCGCGTCGCCTCGGCGACGCTGGTCAAGTTGTGCAGGAGCGCACGGTTTCCGGGGCCCTCAGAAATCACATCCTCTGTGCTTTAGGGATGTTCCAGGGGCCGTGCGATAGGGATGTTTCAGGGGCCGTGCTTTAGGGATGAGTGCGTTCCTGGAGGGAGCACAGAGGAGGTGATTTCTGGGGCCCTCAGAAAGCACATCCTCTGTGCTTTAGGGTTGTTTCAGGGGCCGTGCTTTCGGGATGTTTCAGGGGCCGCAGGGGCCGTGCTTTAGGGATGAGTGCGTTCCTGGAGGGAGCACAGAGGATGTGATTCTGGGGCCCTCAGAAATCACATCCTCTGTGCTTTAGGGATGTTTCAAGGGCCGTGCTTTAGGGATGTTTCAGGGGCCGTGCTTTCGGGATGAGTGCGTTCGTGGAGGGAGCACAGAGGATGTCATTTCTGGGCCCTCTGAAATCACATCCTCTGTGCTTTAGGGATGTTTCAGGGGCCTGCTGTTGCTGATTATGCTCCTCCTCCTCCTCCTTCTCCTCTTCCTCTTAACGCTTCCCCCATACAGCAGCGTCCTCTAACATTTCCCCCATCACATCCTCTGTGCTCCCTCCAGGAACGCACTCATCCCTAAAGCACGGCCCCTGAAACATCCCTAAAGCACGGCCCCTGAAACATCCCTAGAGCACGACCCCGTGGGCCTCATGGGCACTCTGGGCCCTCCTGGAACCCCGTGGGCCCTCTTGGGGCCCTCTGCCTCCTGGAAATCCCTTGGGCCCTCTTGGGCCCTCCTGGGCCCGTGGACATTCTTGGGACCTTGGGGCCTACTGG